GAAAGGAAGAAACTATTCCTTTTGAGTTTGCTTTCTCTTTTTGAAAAAAAAATGGAGAATTTTTTCTTTTCTTTTTGGCTGTATAGCAACCATTTTCCCTCTCTAACATACCCAGGTATCATATTTCTTTAGAGGAATTAACTTCACCCCTCCCTTGTGGGCAGAACAGCAAACCCAAGTGCCTGTCCTCCTGCTACGGAAACCCAAGAGACTCCTCCTGCCAAAACTTCCCCTCATTATCGTAACCACCACCATCCCACCTCCACCAGCCGAGCAGTGGGCATATGACCCAAGGTTGGCCAGTTGAACTTTCCTAGGATTTTGAATCTTAAACTGAGTTGTCCAAAGAGGGAAGAAACAGAGTCCACTCTTTCCAGCTGCAGTGCCTGGGATATACTCGAGCAGTCCCCATCACTGAGACCTTTCAAAACTGCCTTGTTCCTTTTCAGTGGATTCTATTTTTCACTTAAGTAAGTTTCTGTTATTTGTTAACTGTTATGGGTTGAATTATGTCCCTTTAAAACATGTATGTTGAAATCCTAATCCCTGGGACCTCAGAATATGCCCTTATTTGGAAATAGGATCCTTGTAGATATCATTAGTTAAGAAGAGGTCAAGCTGCAGTAGGGTATGCCCCTAATCCAATATGACTGGTATCTTTATAAATAGATAAATTTGGACACAGACACACATGCAGAAAGAATGCCATATGAAGATGAGGGCAGAGGTCAGGGTGATGCTTCTGCAGGCCAAAGGACATCCAAGATGTCGATCTTGATCTCTGACTTCCAGCCTCCAGAACAAGAGACAATACATTTCTCTTGTTTAAGCCACTCAGTTTGTGGTACTTTGTTACAGCAGCCTTAGCCAACTAATGGAGTAACCAAAACACCTAACCTGACTTTTCTTTTTCAAAGGTGAATATTCCTGGGGAGTTTAAGGGAACACATTTGCATGAAGTTGTTGGTTAGGAAAGACCTGGATAGCCCAAGGAGAGGAGTTGCTACACTGGGCAAATCTACCTAGAAAGTTAACAGGCTAGCCTCTAAATTTAAATATGAATATTTCATAAAGTGCCTGTTTTCCCTGCACTCACAGAAAAAAAAATTAATGAGAACAAGGAGATGATTTTCAAGTTAACAGATAAAGAAAAGGTTGGAAATAAATAATAACACAATTTGAATAGTTCGAGTTTGACAAAAGGTATATGAGGCACTACTGTCAGGAGAAGTTTCTCTGTTACAAGATTTAAGTTTTTTGCTTTTACTTGTTGTTTAAAAAATTATGGATTATATTCACTATTCTCTTGTTGATACCTTGATATAATGTTAGCATCTGCTCTGAGTCAGATGTTAATATGGTGTGGGCAGAAGGCCCAGGTTTGATCTGATTAAGGTAACTGACTTTATCTTTTTAGTGCCCACGGATTAATGGTCCCCAATTAACTCTTATTTTTTCAGCAAATATCTATTGAGTATATACCCTGGGACAGGATAGGCTGGTGAATAAGCAGCAGGTTTTCAACTCTACCTGGGAGGGAGCAGCAAATGATACAGGAATTAATGGTCAGGTGTACTGCTAGGAAGTTACATTTCGTCTGCCAGGTGAAGGTCAAGTGACATTTAGCAGGTCCAAAGCATGGTATGGTATCTGAGGGAGGAGTGTCTCCGGCAGAATAGAAGGTACTATGAAAGACTAGAAGTGAAAGAGAGTCCTTTGGCAATATGGATACACTGAAAGAAGTTCATCGTGGCCAAGAGATGAGGTTAGAGTGACCAGGAAAGCTAATTAAGGGGTGTGAATGATCCTAATGGTAACATGAGAAACCATCAGAGAATTTCAATCTGGGAAGTGACTTGATTAGATTCGCCTTTCTTAAGATCATTCTAGTAGCTGTTTGGAGAATGACACATGGAACAACTAGTCTAGGTGCACAGAAAACGATTAAAAATCTGTTGGTGTGGTGAGAATGACAGAGAGAGATTAAACTAGGAGAGTGGCCATGGAAAAGAAGAGGGTGTTACCCCTGGAAGAGAGAACATGCTATGTCACCTGACTGGGAAGGTTGCATTTCATACCAGTTTGCTCAAGACTGCCATTCTTGCTTGTTGCCTGTGGGCTCCATGAGGATGTATGATAGCTCCAATATGTCTCACTACTAAAGACAGTGAGCCTCCTGATAGATATCCCCATAATATTTGGATGGGAACTCTATGACTACTGGCAGATGCCCAACAGATCGTCTGTGATCTGGTCCATTTACCCCTTGAAGCATAGCATGTCTGGCATACTTACAGCCCCCAACTCATCTACTTTGTCCAGACAACTTTTAGAACCAGGAAATGTTGGATTAGGAAAAACTAGGGTGTGTATCTTAGACCCAGGTCACACTTTATCTGTGGGTTCTGTCACTTCTCTCCCAAATTGCCTTTTCTTTCTTTTCAGCAGTACAGGGGTGGGTAGCAAGTCTACTGGCTAAGCAAAAATCCAACCGGGAAACAAAATGAAAGTGAGGTGCAGCCATTCTCAGGAACACTGAGTTTCCCAAAAGGGAATTCACAGAAGTTCTCTTCTGTTGATTAGGGGTAGGGAGAGTTGTGTTGGTAAGGCTTATTTTCTGCAGAAAGTTGTTTGGTCCCAGCAACTGTTGGCTCCTTGCGTTCAGAATTCTAGGTAACTGGTAACTTTCCTGCACAGATTTGGGACTTGCTGCAACTCAGAGCAAAAATTAAAATTCTGCTCAACCTCTTGTTATAATAGCTCAAACATTTTATTACAAAATTCTTTGGGGCCCTAAATGTGGGAATATAAAATTTTAGCAGGACATTTAAAAAATGGCAGAATGGGTTAGGTATCTACCTTCTGAAAGCATTTGATTGAGCTATGTGGTCTTAAGTATTGAAATGCTTATACCTGCTAGGCAGTGACTATTCTAAGTACTGTATTTACATATACATATAATATGTGAGATTGGCAAAGAAGAGGCAGAACTAACTGAAAGAATGGCATTTAGGGTATGATCAGGAAAAAAGAAAACTGACTTGTGTGGCTGTCTTACCTCCAAATCATCAATCTCAATTTTTATTTTTTATCAAGAGTTGATCTATAGACCAGATCTGGGTGTCAAGAAAATAAATTTTAAGGCCATATTTGAATTCACTGAAGTTTAAGTTCCAAAACTTTGCACCCATCTAAAGTGGTATCGCACTCAAGTGGACTTTGAGTTCTCAATACAATTAAGGCTGATGCTTCTGGCTGTATTTCTGAGGTCACCATGCTTACGTGGCTGATTAGATTCCACTCCTGAGAACAGATACTAAACACATTTCCAATGACAGCAATTGCTTTAAACTCTTTAAAGCTTTCAAAATAGAGAATGTTTCATTTAGAACTCTTAGTTAAAATAATTAGCAATTAAGACTCCAGGAAATTACATTTAAATCACTCCTGTAGAATCCTTGAAAAGTTCCACACCAATTCAGAAGTTCCTGTATGATAAAAGAATAGATTGTTCATTGTTTAAGTTTATGAACTTCTTTTCCCCCAGCTTTTTATTAAATCTAACGTAACTTGAATGTAACTCTAACTGAGCACTAAGTTCTGGGTAGGTATTGTTCCAGGATCCCTGAACTGGTGAAGAGGCATACCTACTGGGATATTTTCTTTGGCCGTGTGACTAATAATGGCTCCTCTTCAACTTCATCCGAAGATAGGAATACCACTTCTATCACAGATCCAAAGATTTTGAAACACCCTTCCTCATTACATAAAACAAACAACTTTTTTTTTTAATTGCAGCAAAGAGGGAACTAAAGCCCATACTTTACACAGTTTCACAAGACACATTGCAGGGGGGAAAGTGACTTAAGAAGGATCAACAGTATTCTAGGGTCTTGGTGGACCTCTAATTCCTGGTAGAGGGGGTCTAATTCCTGGAGGGACATGCCTATTGGCATCCTTCGAGCAGGGGAAAGCCCAGTTGGTGGGCCTTTGGGTGGTCTCATCCTAGGTGGAGGAGCCATAGTGCCTGGAGGTGGTATTGCTCAGCCCACAGGGTGCATGGTCTTCCCCCTCCTGATGGATATTGAGTTGAGGCTGCAGCAATGCTGGTAGCTACTACAGTGCCTCTTCCCTGTGGAGTCATGACCTGTTGGGATGGCCCCCAAGCCCTCAGACAAGCAGTTCTTTCATCAGCTGGAATTTAAGAGGTGACTGAGAGCTGCTGTTGTGAACTTGTGACAATGCTGTCTTTGGTTCTGCTCTACCCTCCTCTGTCCACTCTTTCCCTTATTCAGGATCCATTATTCCCAAGCATACAGTGCCCTATGCATCCTTCTAAAGGACAAGGATCCCTCCTAAGGCAGTGCTTTCAACACTCTGGCTCAATCCTGGCTTACCTTTTCATCAAAACTACCAGCCCTGTGTCCCAGAATCTTTTAGGAAGCCAGGAATTTGACATACTTATCTTAAAGTTTATTTCTACCAAGACATTTACATGAACAGTTGCTTTCAAATTTCAACCTTCAGTACCTTAATCTGAAACAGTGACACTCTGGCAAAGACAGAGGAAGAGCTATTGGGACATGGAGGAGTCCTTTGGCTCTTCCTCAGTTCATATATTCCAATCACCATTTAGTTTTATAACTGACTTCACTCATGTGTTTCATAAAATTACAAAACCTTAGAGCTGGAAAGGATTTAGTGGTAAGTCAACACCTCCACTTTAAAGATAAAGAAACAAAAGCACAGAAAAGTTAAGAAAATAGTTCCACAGTTACAGCCAGCTAGGACTCCTGGCTCCAATTCTGACACTTGTCCCCTTATCTCTTAGACTCTGTTAATGAGCTTTCCAAAAAATATATATGTGTACTGCTAATTCTTTTTGTCTGTGATTCCCAATTGGATGAGGTGAGATGGGGTTGGAGAGAGCATATATACGCATTTCCAAAAGGCATGCTCAGATTTAAGAAGCATAATTAATATCAGAATATACTTCCAAATTGGGAAAATGAAAATGCTATTACTTTGATAACAAAAATTACAAGCAGTAAATTGTAACAAAATAATGGCAGGTAACAATTCCATTCTATGCTTGTCAGTGATTCTCAAAGACTGATGATGATGGGGACTGGAGACACATCAAACCCTCCACAGAAGAGTGAGGCACTTAGCTTCATCTGAAATATATAAAATATTTTGGCTATTTATCTTTTGAAAAATTTGGTTCCAATTCTGAAATGTTTCAAATACAAAAATACAGAAAAGGCATAACTTCACATATCTCCCCACCGTATTCAAAATACGTTGTTCGATCACATTTGCTTATTATGTCTCTTTATTGTTTGACTTTTTTTAAAGATGTAAAACATACAGGCACAGATAAAGTTCACCAGCAGTGTGCCTTCCTTCCCCTCTCTTTGAGTGATACCACCCTGATAAAGTATGTATCTATCTTTGCCTTTTAAGTTATTCCCTTCTACCACATATGCATGGATGCATAAATAATGCATGTTGTTATTTGGTGTGTTTTTAAATTTTATTTTAACCGATACTACTAGTGCCTGTATCTTTTTATAACTTGCTTTTTTCATTAAAGATTCATGAGGTTTTTTTGATAATGGTATATGTAGATCTAGTCAATTCATTTGAACTGCTGTGTAGTATTCCTTGCATAAGTAAACCCAACTTACCTCTCTAGTCCTCTAGAAGGGACAGTTAGATCGTTTTCACTTTTTCACAGTTGTAAACAGTCCTGCAATGAAAATTTTGAAGTACAACTCCTTGTGTACACGTGTGAGAGTTTTTCTAAGACGTATAACTAGAAATAAAATTTTAGGATACATGTGTTTCCATGCATACTAATTAATGAAATACTGTTTTCCACAACATGTGGAAATTGTGGTTGTGACAATTTATTCTCCTGCTGACATTACCTAAGTCCTGTTTCCCTACACGCGTACCAACATTTGATGATATCAGACTTGTCTTTCTTATCTCTTGGGGATGAAATTGTTTCTACTACTATTTTAATTTGCATTCCCTATATAACAACAAAGTTGAGTGTATTTTCATATATGTATAAAGTACTCCACTTTTCCCTTTTACAAACTGCTTTTTCATATCCTTTACCCATTTTGTAAAAGATTGTTTTTCTTTTCTTTATTGATCTATAGAAGACCTTATGTATTCTGAATACTATTCCTCTGTTACTTATATATATGGAAAATATCTTTTCTCAGTGTAGGTTGTTTTGTTTTATTTATTATTTATTTATTTATTTAGCTCTGTTAATGGTGTATTCTGACATGCACAGGTTTTTAATTTAATGAAGTCAAATTTTTCACGGTTTTCTTTTATTTTGCTATTCTTTGTTCTTTAAATTAAAAAATATTGGGGCGCCTGGGTGGCGCAGTCGGTTAAGCGTCCGACTTCAGCCAGGTCACGATCTCACGGTCCGGGAGTTCGAGCCCCGCGTCGGGCTCTGGGCTGATGGCTCGGAGCCTGTAGCCTGTTTCCGATTCTGTGTCTCCCTCTCTCTCTGCCCCTCCCCCGTTCATGCTCTGTCTCTCTCTGTCCCAAAAAATAAAATAAAAAACGTTGAAAAAAAATTTTAAAAAAATATTTAATGTTTTATTTATTTTTGAGAGAGAAAGAGAGACAGAGCGCAAGCAGGAGAGGGGCAGAGAGAGAGGGAGACACAGAATCCGAAGCAAGTTCCAGGCTCTGAGCTGTCAATACAGACCTCGACCACGAACCATGAGGTCACGGCCTGAGCTGAGACTTAACTGACTGAGCCATCCAGGTGCCGCTTTTGTTGTTTAAGTAATACCTTTATCCTGAAGTCATATAATATTATTCTGTATTCTTTCTTGAAATTTTTAAAGTTTTGATTTTTACATTTAGTATTCAGTCCATCTGCAGTTTGTTTTTGTGTATAGTATTAAGTAGGAATCTAGCATTCTTTTCTCTATGGACTAGCCTATTGTCCCAGTACCATTTACAGACCAGCCCAAATTTCCCTTTTACATTGGTAAGGCTACTCCACTTTATGCGAAGTTCCTACACAGGGATGAGTGTTTTTAGGCACTCCCTTCTCTTCCATTGAATTCCCTCCATGTCAGTAACACTGTTTCATTTAATATGATAATATAAAAGTTTACTTCTCCTGGGATAGGTCTCTTCTTTTTATTCTCCTTCTTCTCCTGGTGCCTTATTCTTCATGTCTTTCCATAAAATTATTTTAGTCCATTCTCAGTGCTTCTTACTCTTGTGTGACATTTCGAGTCATCTTATAAAGTCCTGTGAAATTAAATTTATTTTATATGTTAATTAGAGAATTACCATCCTTTTAATATTAAGTTTTCCAATCTTTGCACATGTCTTCTCTCTGTGAATTTAACTCCTCTTTTACGTCCTTTAAGTAAAATTTTGTAATTGTCTTCGTAAAGATATTGCACTTCTCTTGCTATATTTACCTTTAGGTACATTTACTACATTTTATGAAGGATATGAACATACACTACTGATTTTGTACATAGGTCTTATATCTAGAAATCTAGATGAACTATTATTGGTACTAATAACTTGTAGAGTTTCCTACATTTTTCTTTTCTTTTTTAAAATATTTATTTATTTATTTTGAGAGAGAGAGAGCATGAGAGCAAGTGGGGGAGGAGCAGAGAGAGAGAGAGAGAGGCAGAGACAGAATCTTAAGCAGACTCCTTGCTGTCAGTGTGAGGCTCCATCTCACAACTGTGAGATCATGACCTGAGCTGAAATCAAGAGCCAGACCCTTAGCCCACAGAGCCATCCATGTGCCCCTTCCTACATTTTTCTCTGAGACGGTTATATCATGAGCAAAGTCTACTTTTTTCTTTCTGATTTTTTTCACATTTAAAAAGTTTTAAATAATTAATTTGTCTTACTGCACTGGCTAAAGTCTCCAGTACAAAATGAAAATGTAGTGATAGCAAGCATCATTTACAAGGAATTTAATAGAACTTCTAATGTTTCCCCATTAAATATAATTCTGCTGTAAGTTTTTGGTTGGTATTCTATCAACCAAAAGTCTACCAGATTAAGGAATTCTCTTCCAATTCTAATTTTAGTTAAATGTCTGGATTGCTTTTTTTTTTTTTTTTTTACCCTGAATAGGTACTGAATTGTATCAAATCATGTTTTTAATCTGTTGAGATATTTATGTTTTTCAACCTCAATTTCTTTATATAATTAATAAAATTAATAGATTTGTTTAATTTAAACCATCTTGGTATTTCTAAAATGAAATATTGATATCCATTTTAATACACTGTTGGGTTTGTTTTATGAATATTTCATTTACGATTTTGCATCATTGTCACAAATGATATCAGCCCACAGTATTCCTTTGTGGTACTACAATTCTGACAAGTTTGGATTTCCAATGTTTACTGCACTCATTCCATGAGTGCTAAAGCATCTTCATTCTACTCTCTGGAAGAGTTTGTCTAAAAAAGTCATTATATATCTTTCTTAAATGTGTAGAACTTGGCTGTAAAACCCTCTGTTTGATTAACTTTATTTGCATTTATTTGTAACTATGATTCAATTTCTTTAACAGTTATAAAACTATTCATCTTCTATGTAGTCATTTTGGTAAATTTGGTAATTTTTCTAGAATTTTATTTTTTTGACTAAAGCTTTCAAATTTATCTCCATATAAGTTTCTGAATACACACACACACACATACATTCAATCTGCAATTGTCCTTTTTGTTCCAAATATGATTTACCTCTGCCCACCTTCTGTTTCTTTATTATTGTTGCTAAAAGTCTTCCTATTTTGTCTTTTCAAAGAACCAGTGTTTGCTTCTATTGACACTATCATCCCCCCCTTTTTTTCTCTGTTTTATTCATTTTGTTATTTCACTAGATTTTACTTAATTTGGGGGCAAATTGTATGTAAATTTCTAGGCTTGAATTTCCCAGAGAATTGTAAAATGGTGTCTAAGCTCCAATGAAGCAAAGACAAGGGCTCATGATTTCCCAGGGAGATGTCTTCATTTTTACTCAGCTTCTTTAATATTTTGTTATCTCCCCATGTTCCCTAACTGGGTGTTTGTTGTTTTGTTTTGTTTTGTTTTGTCTTGTTTTGTTTTGTTTTAAGGCCACCTTTTCATTTAGACTCAAAACACTTGAAGTGACTTGTCCTTAGGCGGCAGTCTCAGTGTTACCCTTCCTTCCTTGCCTGGGCCCAAGGCCCCCTCTCTGGACTCCACCTAGGTGTTCAAACCAAAGCATCTGGATTCCCAGGGACCCATATGTCCCTCCCAAGGCAGGGAATGCTTAGCCCACTCAGGGCTTCTAGTTGCCATTCAGGTTTCTAGTTCTTTCTTCAGTTATTACTCATGGGGATAATTCTACTTCTGTTTTAGGGGTTCAGATATCCAATAATTTTGTTATTGTTGCTATCATTATTATTTTATATGTTCCCATTTTCTAGGTGTTTGTAGCCAGAGCGTGTCTCTATTATCCTCCATCTTATTGAAACAGAAAACTTTCAACTTATATTTTAAAACACATAGATTCCACATTTTGGTAATTTGTACTTCTGTCTTTGTTAGATTATATTAATAAGTGCTACCACGTATAGAACATGCAACAGAGGTGCAAGATGTGTCATTTTGGTAATCATATTTAGTTTTTACAACTATTTTACAGATGAAAAATCTGAGGATTTGGGGTTGTTGAATAATTTTGCCCAAGATCACATAGTTATTCAGCAGCAGAAGATGCAGCCCACATCTGTCTGACCTCAAAAGAGATGTAACTGATTCTCAAGCCCCTGGGGTTTCTCCCACCATGGCTTGCTTTTTTTTTCCCCTTTTTCTTTTTTTTCTTTCTTTCTTTTCTTTCTTTCTTTTTTTTTATTTTTATTTTTATTTTTGGCTCTTTTGTTAAACATCATCCCTTCCTTATATAAACTACTAGTTACAGGGATTTCAGTAAAGATCTGAAGGGCAGGAAAAACTCTCTATGACTTTCACATAGACACTCTATTTATCCCCTAAAAATTAATAACTATCTTTTGAATAATAATAATTTGTAATTACAAACATTGTAATTTAAGGAGAGATTTAAGGAAAGAGAAAGATGGATTTCAGCAACATCAACTGGATCATTTTTGAAGGTGAATTCCAAGCATGCAAATTTATTTCAAACCTTCCCTGAGGATTGAGTGCAAAGCAGCTGGCTGGTACTTTTAAGCCGCTCACAGTTCGGCACAGCGGCTCCTAATGCTGGCAGAGCTCCTGTGTCACCAGGATCTGCAGAGCGTGGCAAGCCAAATGAAAGAGGAAGTTTGCAATTAATTAAAAATAAATGAAAACAAAAATCTTCCCCCAGTGGCTTGCTTCTCATCTTGGTTGTAATCCACAGTCAACATGTGGAGGCCACGTGGGGCATTTACCAAATGGAAAAGGTATAGGACTGTGTCGAAGAAACCACAGACTGCCGCTCTGGACCACACTAATAATTCTTTTAAATCCTCTCATTCCACCTCGTCAGGAGACATAGCAGCATTTTAAATCTGACTGACCCATATAAATTACCTTTCTACTCATCCGGCTGTGAAATTAACAGTAGAGGAAGACAGGTCCTGTCAAGCTTGCTGTGCTGAGCTGCTGAAGGGCTCAGAATAAATGGGGGGGTGGGGACAAAGAGACATTGTGCTTTAAGAAAACAAGGAGCCCGAGCTGTGATCAGCACATTAGGCTCTGATACGGCGCCTGCTGTTACGGAGCCTGGTACTAACATGGGAAGGGGGTTTAACAAGAAGGAACACGTTGTTTGGTGCCATCTGTTGCACTGAAACATAAAGGGCTGTGAGCCTGGGGGCCCACTGCAAAAGTGGCTGGGACAGACACCACATCCCTCAAAAAGGTTAAGCCATTGGAATTTGAAAAATAAACCCAGAAGGACTTTCCATTCTTAGTGTTGCCTAAACTCACGAGCGTCCTGAAATAGGACACTTAACCTTTCTTGGTCTCGGTTACCTACATATTTATGTAATACTATTACTAGATGTTAATTTAAAAAAAGAGAGCAAAAGAATCTATCTCATAATGAAATTTCATCCGTAAATCATCCTATAATTTTGTGTTGTTCGGAGATGTGGTTTAGAAGAGGTAGAAAGAATCTTTTACTCCTTAAACTCCCGTATTTTATTCCATAGCCTCACCAATCTCCAAAACAACGCCAATAATTTCTTTATCTTACATATGGATAACTAGTCTGATTTTAAGACGAATTTGACTTTATCTTTGTTTTACAGCAGAAAAAGACCAGTCTTATCATTGAATTCTTACGTATTAGAGAATGGAAGACAACAGAAGAGGGAAGATCACCTTGCCAGCTGTCCACTAAGGGCACATGCTTGTGCATGCATGCGCGCACACAGGGACTCGGAAAAAAATCTAGGCTGATGTAAATGTAGCAGCGCTGGCACACGCTTTGGGCCACACTCTGTGTGAGTTGGCCACATGCCAGCATGGAAGCGAGTAGGCAAAGAATAGCTTTGATAACGTTGCATGCCAGTATACCAGAGAAGCACAGGCAAGATGATTAGTTGGCAATTGCTATTAACCATTTTATTAATATTATCGGTATGAAGGATCATGTTGGCGATCTCATATTTATCATCTTATGTTCTCCTCAAAAAGATCTTGGACTGATTTTATTATCCCTCTTTCATAGAAGAGACTCTTTGGCCCAGTGATGTCATATAATATCAAAGATCACAACTTATAAGACAGAGCTGGAATTAAAACCAAGGTCTGATTCTAAAATGTCACATGGACTTTCAACTCTAGAGTTCATTGCTACTCAGAAAGAAGAGAGACGACTAACATTGAAACAGTAATAATAATAATAATAATTATTATTATTATTATTATTATTATCAGTTATTACAGTTCTTCCCCTCTTCTCTTTCCCCAACCCCCTACTTCTAAAAGAGAAAACAAAATCAAGAACATTCTAGAATGGCTTCTTCTCAGACTACTAAAACTAAAAAACCTTGAAGATCATTGCCCATATTCTTCTGTCAAATAAAGGAAGCTGAGGCTCAAAGAGCTGCTTACAAATGGGTCTTAGTCTCAAATGGCAGAACCAGAGCGAGAAATAGACAACACAAATTCCTAGACTAGTGCTCTTAATTTTATACCAAAAAAATGAAAGCATTTTCAAGATCAGGAAGTTGCTTTCCTCATCTTTCACCTGCCTCCATGGTCCTCAGTCCAGAAAACCTTAGAATAATTTGGAGAAAGGTAAAGTTTTCTTTCTTTGCACACCAAATGCATGAAGTTATAGTCAGTGCTTTCTCCCACCAAGAAGGAGAAAACCAATGCTATTATATGAGAAGATGTTGTGTCACTTTTCAGATGAGGCTGTATGTCGACATCAATATATTTTCCTTTTCATCCTTAGCACTCTGACAAGGAAAGTTTTGAATGAGGTCAGTGGTGTTAATTTTACTTCAATTTTAACCTCCCGAGTGAGTTAGTCTGTAGAGTTTCTATTTTGGTAATTTGAGTTTTAGCAGTTAACTTGTACTCTGATATTCTTTATTCCATGAAATTAGACACTAGAGGGAATACATTTGAGATATGAAGAAGTCTCCAAAGAAGAAATTCATAATCTTCAAGCTAGAGAAAATTTGATTTACAGGAAAGTTAAACAACAACAACAAAAAACCCAAGTAAAATAAATTGGGATGATGGAGCAACTCTTCCTGTGTGACTACATATGAATAAATAGGCTAACATTCCTATTAAAAATGTAATCCTTCTCTGAAAATATAATTGAAATTGATCCATCTTTATTTGAGTTTCTATTTAAGTTAAGAAAAATGAGTTTTTATAAGTAATTTTCTGGGCCATTTTGTCTCAGTTCCAAATTTCATCCTTCTTTATTCCTTACTCTGTTTTGGGAAATGGGCCAGAGGTCTGCAACGTGTATTTCTCCTTTACCAGTTGTTGTCCTGCTAGGTTCTGCCAATAGGATGCCCTGGAGGGAGACCGAAGACTAGAAAATGGAAGAAGGTTATTTCTTCTTCCCGTTGGATTCAGCCTCTGGCCGCCTTTAGCACTCTCAGAACCAGGGTCATCACCCTCTCCCCAGGGATAAAACCACTAGGCAGGCAGCTCCCCAAACTCAAGTGCTGAGCCCCAGCTTAACAGAGGCCCTCCTCCAAGCTACTGAGGGGTCAGCACCAGTGAGCACCACCATCTTCCCAGTTGTCTGATTGCTGGTGTCACGGGGCTCTTTCTTCAGTGGATGAGGTGTGACAGCAGCCTAGCACCTCTCCTCAGAAGTCTGAAGGTCAGCTCCACAAAGTTCCTCTTCAACTTCGAGAGAAACTAGAAACAGTTCAGACAGCACCGTTTCTTCGATCCCTGCTCTGCAAGACCCCTCTCCCAAACACTGGATTCCCCTGAGGGTCCCCAGCCCTAGAGTGATAGCTGTATTCTACAGTTATTCCCTCTGTATCTTGGTGCTTTTTGCTTTTTTTTAAATCCTCCAACTCCTGTTTAACCAACTCCCTATATTAAATTTCCTTGTGAAATACCTTAGTGTGTTTTGGGTTTTCCTAACTTTACCGTGACATAGAGGTAATAAATGAGCCAATGTGTGAAGTAGATGAAGTTGGTGACCTAAAGGAACTGGAATGAGGAATAGTAAAGCAGGAAGCTTATAACTATTATTTTGAATCTAACCAGAAAGTGAGGGAAGGAATCTCTCATTTTCTTAAATGCAACTGTTTTCAGCCTTCCAAGGGCTGTCACGTAGTAGAGAACTTATAATCCTACTACATACCAAGAGGGTAGAACTAAGCAGTCCAGAACATGACAGCATGGCAAAGCAGAACTTCACTTTCCATGAGAAAGAACTTTTTACAGTCAGTGGAACCCTTAGCTAGGATGGTCACTGAATAGGAATATTGTAGAAGAGATTCAATATAATATTTTTAAAGCCGCAAGATTCAATGCTTCTAGCAATGGTTGGCAATAAATAGAAAGGTAAAAGAGGGCTGTGTATTGGAGCATCCTTACACTAGGCTTAATCTTGCAATCCAGAAACAACAGAGACCACCAATTGGATTGCCTGTGGGATCAGATTACCCCGAAATTGATCTCTAAAGTGCCTGGAAAAAAGATGCAAGTGATAATTGACTAACGTTGTGGCCTCCTATCTGATATACCAAAGGTGATGTGAGAAGTAAGGTGTTAATTTTAAGAATTAAATAATGCAGGATTGAGGAACCAATTGTTTCCACAGTTGACTGTCACCAGGGGTGTAAACTAGCTAGTGTGTGATATTAAGGACTCTGGAAACTGGCAGTACAACTCTTAAAAAAAATTCTTCTGATATTCTAATCTAATGCTGTTCTGAGGTTTCCTTGTGCGATATTGCATTTATGTAAACCTGCAGGCAGGAATGTCCAAGATAGCTGAGGGAAGCTAACTCCCAGATCAAGTTTATAATGGAACAGAAAAGTAAAAATGAAAACACAGGGACCTTCTAATCAGCAGGTGTTCCTGCATGCTACCCTTTTATTTCCTTTCATTTCAGTACAAGTCTTCTCCCTAAATCCATGCAGTGTCTGAATCTAAACTTTTAAGTTTTGTGGTACACGTTTGATTGGCCTTTTCCTCCTAGCTAAGAAGATTCTCATAGTATTCAAGCCATGAGAAATTCCCAAATAACAGTAGCCCTCTGAGGCAAAAATAATTAGTTATAAAAGCCCCAATAACATGCACGTGCAATGGTTTTAAAGCCTAGCTGAGGGGCGTCTGGGTGGCTCAGTCAGTTAAGTCACCAACTCTTGCTTTCAGCTCAGGCTGTGATCTCACAGTTTGTGGGTTCAAGCCTCACATTGGGCTTGGAGCTGATAGCGCAGAGCCTGTTTTGGGATGCTGTCTCCCTCTCTCTGCTCTTCCCCTGCTTGCTCTCTATCGCTCTCAAAATAAATAAGTAAACATTAAGAAAAATAAAGACTAACTGAATGTCACATGTTTGCCTCTCAGTATGTTTCTGAACGTAAGTAATCAACACAGATACAAGAAGAAGAAAAAGTCATACGTCTTGCCTTCTTTTCATTCCATCTTTCTCTCATCCCTTTAAAGTCCTCTCTAAGTGCTGTAATTCCCTGAAAGCAGTTGAGAATATACCCATGATGGGACTTTCATTTAATTTGGGGAAACATTTCTGCTCCCTGAAAACTCCTTGGGAAGTTTCAGTTTTCAGTCAGAAACCAATGGGGGGCGGGGCGTGAAGTGCAATGTGAAACAGCCAAAGTCCCAAAGTCAAACTCAGACCCCAGAGCCTGTGGATAAATAACTCTGTGCAATGTTATTCATAGTCTTCCCCCAGTAAATATTTACAAATGCAAATATGACAAGACCCATCCCAAGAACCAGCATTATAATGTCGTTTCTGAACAGCCATTTCTTAACATACTGTGTGTTACAAAGAAGTCTCACCGCTTGTTTGCATCCTTTAGAAAACAGATTCTTCTACATCTCTGTAATACAGTTACATGTGATGGCTCTTTGAAGCTCTGTTTTGATTTGGTTTGGTTTTGTTAACACCATGGTCTTCAGGTTTGAGTTTCCCTTAAGTTT